ATATACAAGGTTGACCTAATCCTATAAGGAGAAGGTAAAGGACAAATTAATATTAATATAAGAATATAAAATATACTAATATCTATACTCTAACAAGAGAGAAAAGAAACTTAGAGACAAATTTTAGACACAGAAATAAACTTAGAAGGAAACTAAAAATTTTTAGACAAATTAGAGAGAATAAACAAAATTAAAGATAAATAAAGCTAGAGAATGACAAAAATAATAGAGAAGGTAAAAAATTCAACAAACATGAATAGAAAGACAATTGTGAAAATTAAAACGGTTAATTGATAAAGAAAAATAGTTCTTTTCTTATTAACTTTAAAGAGTTATACTGTTAATTGATAAAGAAAATAATTCTTTTCTTATCAATTTTAAAGAGTTGATAATATAAATAGGAGCTACAAAGAAAAAAGAAAAACAAAACTTCGTCTATTAGAATAAGGAAATACCTATCCATCAGAACAAGGAAACCCTAACTTATTTAAACCTAAATACAATATGAAATAAAATATAATTTAACACTCCCCTCAAGTTGGTGAATGAATATTCTCCCTTCCCAGCTTATTAACCAAATGCGCTAAAATGTTGTTGTTCAATCCTTTCGTAAGGATATCTGCTATTTGATTATTTGTTGGTACAAATGGAGTACATATGAGCCCGCTGTCTAATTTCTCTTTTATGAAGTGTCTGTCAACCTCAACATGCTTTGTTCAGTTATGTTGAATTGGATTATGTGCAATACCGACAGCATACTTACTATGATAGTAAAGTTTCATATGACATTCCCATGGAATCTTCAAATCTTTTAAATGAAAATAATCTTTATCCCGAATAATTCTTAGATTCCCAATGTCATTGCTCTAAATTCTACTTCTGAATTCAATCTTGCAACCACATTTTGTTTTTTACTTCTCCATGTCACTAAGTTTCCACCTAGAAAGTACAATAGTCAGAAGTTGATTTCCTATCGTCTATCGATCCTACATAATATGCATCTGTATAAACTTCTAGATTGAGTTTCTCGCCTTTGTTGAACAACAATCCTCTTCAATGGATTTTTTCAAATAGCGAGGTATCAAATGCACTGCTTGAAGATGAATTTCTTTTGGACTATGCATAAATTGACTTACCACTCCTATAGCATACGCAGTATCTGGTCTTGTATGAGAGAGATATATTAATTTTCCAACTAACCTTTGGTGAGTTTCCGTATTTATTAGAGGACTCTCTTCAGCTGCACATAATCTATGATTTTGATCAATCAGGGTTGTCATTGATCTGCTACCAAACATTCCTATTTCAAATAGTAAGTCAATCACATATTTCTGCTCTGATAAGGAATATGGCCTCTTTTGATATCAAATATTTGTGCATCATCTTTTACTTTGGAATAAGTTTGCTTCATTATTTCCCATATGTCTTTTGCAGTCTCAAGAAACATACAAGTATCACTAACGGTCGGAGTCATCAAATTCCATAACCAAGACATGATCATTGAATCTTCTTCATCCCACACATCAAACTTTTGGGTCCTTTCTTAATAATGTGGTTCAATTTCCTTTTCCTTTCAAGAACATTCAAACAAGTTGAGAGCATTTTAAATAATTTTTTCCATCCAACCTATAACTAGGGTGAATGTATTGTAGATCTCCCGTGGAAGATTTGTTAATTTCTTCCATAATAGTTGTTAGACTATATATTAGTATATTTTATATTCTTGTATTAATATTAATTTGTCCTTTACCTTCTCCTAATAGGATTAGGTCAACCTTGTATATTTGTCTATATATATAGACTTTAATAATGAGAATACATCACATTGGATTCTCTCCAACCTTAGTCTTTACATGGTATCAGAGCCCTAGGTTTCTTCTAAAATTTTTGTGCCCATTAGGGTTATGATGCCCATTAGGGTT